AGTGATTATAAGACATGCAAAATAACTGCCCGAATGTTCCAGAACAATTTGATATTCAATCGTTCTAGATATTGTGCATTCTCATATAGGAGTGCAAGATTTTGTTTCTTGTCATCAGGATAACAAAAATATTTTAAGAGGTACGAACGTGTACCGGACACACGTTTGAAGAATAGCTCCAGACAACTTATCCTATTTATAAAATAAAATTATTATTATTATTATTATTCTTGCAGCCGTAAAATATACATACAATATATACATATAAAAGGCAGGGAAAACACCCTACTATAAACAACCAGTTTTATGTATAATTGTTTCGAATTTTATTCCCAACCAAGTGATCTCTTTTAATTTTAAAAGAAAGTACTTTTGAGTAGAAAGTTATTTACTCGGGTATTTTGCAAATCTATTATATAGTTGGTTGCGTCTTGGAAGACAGTTTGGAACATTTTCACGCCTTATTTTAAGATAATGGCCACGCGACAAGGAGTTAATAAATTTTAGTATACAGATTTTATTAATTACATCAACTCAGTGTATTAGTTTAAAGATTTAGATAATTGCATTGTAGGCCCCGAAAATCAAGTGATGGTATATTTAGTCTTTTTAGTCTTTTGTAGTATTGAAGATTTCTTAAGCTTAAAGCCGATTTTATTGCTTTACGTTGAACAGGTTCAACCAAAGCTACGTCAGTTTTTAAATACGGGGACACTGCATATTCAAGGTGCGTCTTATTAACACTTTATATAATTTGAAAGCCATTTTTTCATCAATGATGGTGAATGTCTTTTTTAGCATACCAAAAATATATAGAGATTTGGAGACAACTGATTAAATATGTGAGCTCCACTTAAAGTTAGATGTAAAAATGATTCTTAAATCACGCTCTTTAGTAGAGCTTTCTATGCTTTCATTTATACCTTTATCATTTTGGAAAAAGTAACTGTATATATTATTGAATTTACCATAATGAATAACACAGCATTTAAAAATTTTTAATTTAAGTAACTAAGTGTTTGATCACTTGGGTACTAAGCGTAGACAATCCTGCATAACAACGAAATTAGTCTGCAATAAAGTTTTAGAAAAAAGTTTAGTATTGTCGGCAAAAATTTCAGAAGTTTCAATAAGTTGGGCGAATTGTTTGTATTTATTTTCGCAGTTGTGGACATACAGATCCTCTTTCGATATTGAGTTAAAGACCACATGGGCTGGGAAAACCTTGGATTTGGCTTCATAACTTTTTTCTTTTTGTCATCAGTTATAACAATTTTAAAATTAACCTTTTTTTAGTTACTTTTGGTATGGTATAAGTTTTTTTATTATCTGAGCAAAAAAAATATCAGAAAATATATTTGGTAGCAAGTTATTTTGCTGCTAAATGTATTTTCTGATCATATGCCGTTGGAAAGAAAGAACAAGAAAACAATAACGATTTCCTTAATAATATATATGTTCCTTTTAAGACACAGCAACAGTTACAAAACTCCGTAACCACCATGAGTTGACTCAGTTGAGAGTTGAAATTCGCTGTAGTAACTTCCGCTATGGCGGATGCTTTTTACACAACTTGCTTTGCTTATTCATTAATTTTAGTTTGCAAAAATGATGTTGGTTGTTGTAGTGCTGCAGTTGGTTTTTTTTAATTTTGGGCAACGGGTCTACACATTCTTTAGCGCTTCCACTCATTAAAGCACAACCCTGATAAAAGTTTTAGCCAAAGACAAGACACCAGTACCTAAAAAATCAGACACACGTAGCTTTGCGTAAGAGGTACAAGAATAATCAATAAGCTCTAGATACAATTGCAACTGATGAACGTGCAAAAGGGTGACACTCTACAGGAGGCGCTTGGACTAGCAAAACGTTTAGGTGAATTGGAAACTGATACTTTGACTTTCTTTTGGGACATAAAACAGAAAAGGTTAAATAAAACAGGACTAGCTTTATAAGGTGCCACTTTAGATTTGAATAAAGCTGTTGATTTATTGCATTCATTGTCCAATTATGTTCAATCGTCGAGATGGAAGACAGAATTGGATAAACTTGAGAAATATGGAAAAGAGTTGTCCAAATGTGAAGTATATAAAAAAGAAAACAAAAGAATCAGAAAAAGAAAGCTACAGTTCAATAAAGGCACTTTTAATAAAGTTCTCTTTCTTGCAAAAAATGAATTTTGAAATAATGTGCTGATTGCTACAATTGATCAATTTAAAGCAGTATTGGCTCACAGATCTGCCGCATATTCAGATGTGGCCAACAGATTTGGGTTTTTAAATACATGACTTAAATATTAAATGCTACATGCCTATAACTTTTTCTTAAGTCAAAATTGCCCCTAAATTATTTGTGCCTCCGGCCCAAAGTACTCTTAATCCGCCCCTGACTGTTACTTATAATTCTATACTCCTATATTTTAATATTTATGTTGTAACGGATTTTTAATTTATTTTGTACGTAAAATTTTTCATAAAATATATATATTTTTAAACTTGTTAAAGCCATAAGGCCTTTACTGTTTTTGTTAAAAAGGCTTTTGGTAACATCAGTCATCCGTATATTTTTTGAACACCTGTTTGTATATACGATCTTCATGTGACATAAACTTTCCCTCGTGTAACATAAACATTTATTTAATTTTTATATTACAAAAACAACAAAATATATACTTAAATAAAAAAGTTTTTTGAATTACAGTTAAATACTTTTTGGTATATCTTAGCTCTGGTAAGCCTTGTAGTAATTTTTTATTCATTTTTGCTCAGTATTTCCTGAAATGCACTTACTCGATCTGGTTCCAAACGTCATCTCATCAACTGATAGCTACTTGCTGGTCACTTGGGTAATTCATTACGGTGTCGTAAAAAATACAAATAAAAAATATTTATTTTTTTCAGGTTTTATAATATAGAAACTTAACATAGTATCTATTTAAGATTATATCTATTTATTATCTATTTATTTAAATTAATCGTACTTATTTATGTTGTTATTTATGTAGATAATTTTTATTTATTTATGTAGCTTATTTATGTAGAAAAAATTTTGATATCGGAACGCAAGAACCTTTTTATGACTTTTCACGAGATACGAGAAAGGGTAACCAGACTTATTTCTGGCCACGTCATAATTCTGACCTCATCCTAATTATGACCACGTCCTAATTCTGGCCACGTCATAATTCTGGCCACGTTATAATTCTGGCTAGTTTTCAAAAGCACTTAAGCTTTTAATAAAGAGTGGAATTGCTCTGTTATAAAAAAGAAAAGGATTTTTCAGATTCGTAGTTTTTGAAACACTTATTTTAAAATATATGAAGACATGCCGATGCTTCGAAAACATTCTTGAAATATTTTATAAACGTTTTGTCACCCTAAACTCAATGTTTGGTATTTTCAAAGTTTTTAAGATTACATTTAAATTCTAAAGCGCTTGTAATCTGCTTGAATTGCAATTAATTTTGTAAAATAATACTTTAAAAATCTGTATGTGTGTTTTTTAAATTGGTCAGTAATTCTTTTTATTTGAGAATTTCTTTATAGAATCTTATAATTTCTGTGGTATAATAACATCTGTCCGAAAACATCTGAAATTTCATTGATGTATAATAAAATTTGCGTAAAATGTATATAATTACTACAGATATAACTACCTCTTTTCAGTTATCTAAGTATAATAACATCTGTGCAACTACATCTGGAGATTTTACAGATGTAGTTACATCTTCTAAATCAAGTTAAGAATAACTATTTTGTACAACTAAATCTGTAAATTCTACAGATGTAGTAACATCTTTTAAATTATATTAAAAATAGCTACAGAGTTTTGTTAAATTATTAACTTACAATGCGTTATTTTAACCAGATGTAATTACATATACAATTTTTTCAGATGTAGGAAATAAAGATCTGGAAAAAAATCTATGTAATAGTAAAGAACTTAATAGTAGTAGTAGTAGTAGTAGTAGTAGTAGTAGTAGTAGTAGTAGTAGTAGTAGTAGTAGTAGTAGTAGTAGTAGTAGTAGTAGTAGTAGTAGTATTGCCCTTACGAGCCTGTTTGACACAGAATTCTACCAGAGCCGTGACTAGGCTCCCCCACACACCCCAATGGGGGGGGGGCAGCATTTTAGGGCCCTTATCGAAAGTTAAATTTTTTTTTTTTTTTTGTATTTTTTATAATAAAAATATTGAAATATATATTGTTACTGTAACTATTAACAAAAAACTTGGCCTTTTAATCACGATATTACCTAAATTATGTAAGCGTTATAAAAGCAATAATATTTTTCATGCAAAAGAAAAAGAAAAAAAAGTTGAACTCGATACCAGTCCAAACCGTAATATTACGCAAACTTAAAGTGGTTTCTTAATGTCCATGCCGTAATATTACGCAAAATAAAAGTGGTTCCCAAATGCCCATGCCGTTTTTATTACGGTTTTATGCATCTCCTTATATTTCCTTCTTGTTCATCAGTAATTATTCGTCTACTTGTCACAAAATTTGTTACTACATAGTTACAGAGTTTTTGTTCAATAATTCACTTTAATTTTAAATGCATATAAGGAAGTTATCTCAATGCAAAAATAGTTATCAAAAAGTAAATATTTACTCACGAAAAGAAAGAAAATTATACATTTAATGAGTCAATAATGAAAAGATATATTTGATGAATGGTTATTAAAAATGATAACAAAAGGTTAATGCTCAAGAAAGGTGTGTGGTATGATAATTGGAAAAGCAGCATCATGCTTTTCCAACTATTATACAAAAAGTTAATATTAGTAAACACATTTTTAAAATTTTGTATTCATGTAGTATGATTTATATATTCTTAAACTTGACTAACAACATTTTGTAGTGTTTAATAATATTAATTTTATTATATGGTCTTAATCATACTAATTTTTTATTAGTATTATGCGTTGTTAGTTTTTTTATATCATAAAAAACAATGAAAGAAGGTTTCCAAAAATTTATAATTATCTTTCGTTAGTTTTTCACAACTTAATTATTGGTAAGAAAAAAGTAAAAAGAAAGGTAAAAGAAGAGAAAAAGCTGCAGCCAGGGAGAAAATCACAAAGTACCCCAAACTAACACATTTTTTGAAACCAGCAGTTCAGCCAGGAAGTGTTTCGATACCAACAGAAACTACAAATAATTCTGATTGTCATTATTTGAATACCAGAGTAGAGTCAAATAGGTTGGTATGCGAGTCTACATCAAATAGCATAACAATTCCGCCTATTTTTCTCAGTGATGATCCTTCTGACCTTCTGAGTGGCCAGATAATGTTTCCAACGCACAAAGGTGTGACATTTTTTTAAAACGGGGTTTCAAAAAAGTTGAAGTTGATTTTCCATACAATTTAGAAAGAAGACGATTTTCAATAAATTATTATAATCGTAAGATGAAGAATGGAGAAATCTTCGAACGGACATGGCTCATATATTCTTTGAATAGCAATAAGTGTTTTGTTTTTGTTGCAAACATTTTGGGATAACCTCTTCACCATTCCGACAAGGAATGAACACTTGGGAAGGCTTATCAAAAAAACTTAAAGAACATGAACCATGCAGTGCACATTTCAAGTGCTTTGAACAATGGATGACTTTACGAAAAGGTTAACTGATGTTTCTTTTAATTTATTGTTTTGTTACTTTTTTTATTCTCATTTAATTTTTTTCCTCAATTTTGGTAATGCAGGTATAGCAAATCAAGCTACCATAGACGAGCAACAACAAAAGTTGCTTCATAAAGAGCGGACATTTTGGAGAGCTGTGTTAGAAAGAATACTTGACATTACCTTATTTCTTTCTCCAAGAAATATTGCATTCCGTGGTTCAGACACAACCATTGGTTCTAAGAGCAATGGAAACTTTCTTGGGGTGTTTGAATTACTGGCTGAGTACGATACCGTTCTCATTGAGCTTATGCACAGAATTCAGGACAAAGATACCAAGGAGCACTATTTGAGCAATGGCACACAGAACGAGTTGATTAGACTTTTAGCCAAGGAGATTGAATTCAAAAACCTATCTAGGGTAAAAAAGGAAAAGTACTATTCAATTATTTTAGATTGTACGCCAGACATTTCGCACAAAGAACAAATGAGCATTATTCTGCGATCAGTAACATGTACGCTTGGAGTAGGTATTGACATTTCCGAAAATTTTTTTGGATATCTCACAGTAAATGAAACCACTGGAATAGGGCTTTTTGATGCATTTTTAAATCAGGCAATAGATTGGGATTTAAATAATTTAGACTGTTGAGGTCAATCTTATGATAAAGGTGCTAATATGAAAGGAAAAGTAAAAGGTGTTCAAGCAAGGTTTCTGGAAATGAAAAAGGCCTTATATGTTCCTTGTGCAAACCATTCACTCAATCTTGTTATTGTTGATGGTGCACTGCCGTCCATCAGTGCAACTTCTTTTTTTGGTGTTCTTTCAAGGTTATATACACTCTTTTCATCGTCTCCTCCTCGATTGGAAATTTTAAAATCATGCACGGCAATTTCTGTCAAACCACAATCAGATACCAGATGGGAAAGTAGAATAAACTGTGTTAAACCACTTCGCTATTATTTAAAAGAAATCTTAGAGGCACTTGAAAGATTGAAAGAACATGCCTTAGAAAAGAGAGATAGGGCAACAGCCACAGAAGTACGATTGCTGACAGAATATATTAGAACATGGCCTTTCTTATTATCAATCATTATTTGGTATGACGTTTTATTTCAAATCAACAAATCAAGTAAGCTGTTTCAGTCTCCTGCAGTATCTCTCAACATCTTAGCTTGTGAAATAAAGGCAACAAATTCATTTCTTTATGAGTATCGTGAAAATGGATTTTCTGACGCATGTATTAAGGCGTCAGAAATCGCAGAATTATTGGGCATTGACAATAGAGCGTTCACGAAAAAAAAAATCAATTTATTCATACGAGTGCGTTGATCACACTCGGCAACCTGAATATCAGTATAAAGCAGATTTCTTTTTGCCACTAATTGATATGTCAATTGCATTAGTAAAAGAGCGTTTTGAACAGATCAGCATTGTCACAAAGCTTTTTGACTTTCTTTACTGATCCGAGAGTCTTATCAAAGCTTGCAATGAAAATTCTCTGTCTGTATATTGCAAAAGTTTACAAATAAAGCTTAATGATGTAGATTCTGAGGATTTAGAAATGGAGTTAAAACGATTTGCCATTGTTATAAAGGAGGAAAAAAATGCTTTTCTAAAATCTGGACATGATTTCCTAACTACATCTACAAAGAAGAGTTGCAAGAAACTTATCCTAATCTAGTTATTGCGTTACGAATCATTCTTACTTTACTAGTCACTGTTGCAAGTGCAGAACGTAGCTTCAGCAAGTTAAAACTAATTAAAACATTTCATAGGTTAGTATAAATAATCTTGCTTAATTATACATAAATACATGTAGCTATATTTCATTGTATCTTTAAATAGGTCAACAATGGTCGATGAACGTTTGTCTTCCTTAGCAATGCTGTCGATTGAAAACGAGGTTGCAAGAAAATTAAATAATGAAGGCATAATAAATGAGTTTGCAAGCATGAAAACACATCGCAAACCCTTTTTTTGATAATTTGCGACTTGTATTATCTGGATAATACATTTACATTAGTTAAAGAAACTCTAGACTAATAAACTCTGTATCAATTTAACAATTATAAAAAAATATCTAATTGAATTAAAGCGTTAATTTGATTGTTTTTAGTCTTATGAACGGCGACGTTAAAATATGTTAAGAAGCCAGATGTTTCGAAGTAATCTGTAAATTTTATTCACTTTATAAAAAAAATATTTAAAAATAAGGGCCCAAATGACAAGTTTTGGGAGGCCCCAGACCCACTTGCCACGCCACTGACTACTACTAGTTTCAAGCTACAAAGAATCTATCCATTTGTATATTTATTCAATATATATATATATATATATATTCAAATATAGTTTAAAGTAAGACGTTGGCTCTAGCCTAATAAGTAACATTGGTAAGGAAGGAGGTGTGAACTTCCAAATTGAATGCTCTTCCGTGGTGCTCTGTGATAAGACCCTAAGAACTTCTGGGAGCGCCTCAATAACCACAAAAAAAGAAAACTTTTTTAAATTATAAGATTGCCTGCCCAAGCCAAAACTCTTTTTTATGTATTTAGACTCTACTGCGTCTATTCCTAAATAGTCAGCTGACGAATGTACATTCCACCATTTGACTATTATTAAATCTAAATGTCAAATATAAAAAATTTGAATTTTTTCAATTTTCAGTAAACAGGAGAACTTTTTTTTTATTATTGAACGTGCAAATTTACTATAGTTAAATATAGTTTATTCGCACGTAAAAAACGTGCAAATAGGCACTCTTTATACAAATACTCCACTGTGCTTTTGCTGTAATTCATTTTTTTTTTTAATAAATGAGCTGGTGAGAATCAACATGGTGTAAGTCAAAAAATAAACTTTAACAATTGAGTTAAGTCAATATTTAAGATTATAATTTTTTTTTTTTATGCAATCAATCAGTTATATATTTTGGAAAAAAGATCTAACTTCCACAGTCGTTTACAGATAGTTATAAAAACGAATATAAAGTAAAAACCTCTTTGATGATATAAACCATATTATAGACACATATAGTTATAATAATAATAAAAATAGCAATAAATTAACAATAACAACAATAATAGAAATAAATAACTGTATAATAATAAGAATAACAATAATAATATTACCAGTTAGTATAAGTAACACGCAATAATAATGATTAAAATAAAAACATGATAATAATAAATACAATACATATATAACGGAATTGTTAAATAAATATTTAATAAAAGGCTGTTCATTAATTACGTCAACAAAAATTATAAAAACCAGTAACTAAAAGAATTAAATCAATACAATCTTCTATACAACAGTTACAAACAATAATAAACTGACAAAATGTAACAAATAACGATGACATAAAAATGATTATTGATAAAAGACTAAAAAGACTCAATAAGTATAATAATTTTAGTATTTATAATACAGTAACAAAAATGTATTGTAAGTATAATAAACAAATAAAGAAAATATAAACAAAAAAACACTTATTTTACATAAAATTAAGGTTAATAAAAGTAAAAAATGCATTAAATGCATACACAAAAATACACGACATATATATATATATATATAAATATATATATATATATATATATATATATATATATACATATATATATATATATATATATATATATATATATATATATATATATATATATATACATATATATATATATATATATATATATATATATATATATATATATATATATATATACTTAAATATAGAAAAAACAACTTATAATGGAACTTAAAGTTTCATGCCTATCGGCAATCATCAGCCATGAAGTACCTCTATATATATATATATATATATATATATATATATATATATATATATATATATATATATATATATATATATATATATATATATATATATATATATATATATATATATATATATATGTTAATAAAAATATACATATAAACAATTTATTCACTAAACAAAAATTAAAAGTTTTTTCTTGATCTTTTCTTTCAATGACATTATTGTTTTTGGTAGACTGACTTAATTTATTTCGTTTTTTTTTTTTTTTCCTGTTAAATTTGAGACTGGTGTAAAGTACACTGCAAAGAAACTGGCATTTTTTTGTCAAACTGGCAAAGTGCAATGCAAAGAAACTGGCAACTTTTTTAGTTTGAAGTAGTTTGCTTTTATCAACAGTAAATCTAATAAAACCTTTAAAACCTCAATCTGAGAAAACGTTGCCATAAATTATTTTGATTCTCATCGGTTCATGTTATTCGTTTCTAACTTTTTTGCTTTCTGATGAAATTGTTTTTACACAATCAACAAGTTCATTTAAGGTCGACGGCAAATTCGCATCTAGATATTGGTGTGATTGTTGGCTGTTTTGTTTGCAACAAGCTAAAAATTTATATAAAATTTTATGAAACTGTTTTTCTATTAATTTATCGGCATCAAATACATGCTATCTAGAAACACTGCAATTTTATAACGTTTTTTAAGACTATTTTTTTTATCAGGACCTTTAGCCTCAAAAAGTAATAGAAGAGAAGTAGAAAAGAACTGATCTGTACCAAAACTTTCTAAAATTTCGGTGAATAGGAAGTACTACTCTCAGATTAATAATATCAGCTACTCTACATTACGAAGACCTTTGAATAATAATATTTTTTCCATGAGAGCATGTTTCTCAACATTATTTAACTGATAATAATAATAATAATAATAATAATAATAATAATAATAATAATAATAATAATAATAATAATAATAATTATTATTATTATTATTATTCAAAGTTGAGAGTTTTGAGAGAGAATTGCTCTTGGTGTCATCTTTTTTTTTATCATTTTATTATACGATGATGTATAACATTTAAACTTTTTGTAAATAGTTTTCAAACATTTTTATAATTTTATAAACATAAACTGTGAATATTTATTAACTTTGATTTCCCTTATTTTTATTTAATTTTTATTATTCGACTTATTTGTTTATGTCTGATTGCAGTAAAGCATCGTCCATAAATTACTCAACGCTAACCTTATTTAAAAAATAGAAGCTGGAGATTATTTGCTTTTTTGCGCGGCGGTTTTATTGAACTTAAAGTGCTATTTTAATTTTTGGTGTAATAAAAGGCTCTTCGAGGAAAGCTTTTGATCTTTTTTGTTTTGTCTATTAGTTAAATTTTGCGTTGCGTCGTTTACGGACGATCCCTAACAATAAAACTAATATTTTTCAAAAGAACATGAACTGGGTTTAAAACAAAGTAGCTTTCAAATTTCGATTGTAAAAGTTCGTATTTTAGTTTTTTTCTATTAATTTATCGGGTAGTTTATAGGATTTTTAGTTTTTTAACATTATAGGGTCACATCTTAAATTTTTTAAAATTGGTTTCAAAATTTGTTGTAAACTGAAAGCTAAAATTTACTAAACATTTTTATTTAATAGTAATTTATAAAAAGAATCTATTGTTTTTAAATGAATTAAGATTATATGTAAATATTGCTTTCATCGAAACAAAAAGTTGAACAGAATTCTGACTCTATTGTTACTATTAGTTTCTGTTTACATGTACTTTGTTCACCTTTTTTTGCCTTAAAAAGCGTGATTCAAGAAACATGCTTGTCAATATTTGTGCAAAAACAAAGATCTTACTTGAAAAACAATTTTCAGAGTTAAGGTAGGTGTTATTACTGTTATTACATATAGTTATTAAGCTTTTATATAACTCTAAACCATAAAAGTAAAATGAAAATATATGCATCAAAAGTCTAAATCGGTCAAGCTCTTCTAAAGTAAGAAAAAAAATAAGTAAAAATACTAGGATAACAAAATTAGGAAAAATGTTTATTTAGCTCAAAATAATTGGCTTCCTTTTTCAAAATGAAAAAGGACTGCTTTAAAGTAATTTTTAATAAATTTTTAGATAGTGAAATAGTGTTACATCACAAGTTCACAACAATTTTTTATTAAAACCAAATTATCTATTGAACACAAGACGCGTTTTATCAATACCAAGTTTCCTATTTAAACAAGACGCGTTCTAGACGTCTTGTATTTATTGTCTTCTCATAGTTAATTGGTAAAAACAAAATACTTTTTTTTTTAATGAAGAATCCGTTATAAAAATATATATATATATATATATATATATATATATATATATATATATATATATATATATATATATATATATATATATATATATATATATATATATATATATATATATATATATATATATATATATACAGGGGCGGATCTAGGGTACGTCTAGTACGTCTTAAGATGTACCCAAAAAAAAATTAAATAATAAAAAAAAAAATTAATTTACGTTTCAATTATAAAAATAACTTTTTTGGTTAACTGTCAGCTCAAATAAGATTTAATTTTATAGGCACTTGTAAAACAAGAAATACGAACGGTTCTTGTTTAAAGTTCTTGTTAAAAAGGTATCTGTCTTTGCCGGAGGTTTAAGCAATTCTTGATAAATAACATTTAATTAAATAAACGAATGGACGTCCCCAATTTTATTTTATTATAAAATAAAAAATTATTTTAAGTTTGTATTTGGTTTGTTAAAACAATAAATAAATAATATCTTTACTGATAATTATTTTTGGACGTCCCCGAATTGGTACACCCTTATTAAAATATTGTCAAAATCTTTTGTTTTGTGACGATCAGGAGGTAAAACTAATGATAATATCCTATAAATAATAAGATACACCAATAGACGTCCCCAATATTATTTTATTTTATTATTTATCTTTATATTTAATTTAGTTTTCAATATTTAATTTCTAAATACTCGATTTCTTTTATAAAAAAACACTGCCGGACGTCCTTTAGTTAATACACCCTGAAATACATGCCTTATTCCTAATATTTAAAATGTTGTTTAATGTTAAAAATTCAAGCATTTATTAGTGTGTTCGAGTATTAATTTAAAATGTCACTCAATCAAGAAGTTAAAAACATTATGCTACAAAATGATGAAACAAAATTGATCGCTTTGAAAGATATATTACAAAAAAATATTAGTTGTTGTAATAATACGATTCTTGTCGACTCTTACGAAGAAGAAAAAACTCTTAAAAATTTTGAAATCTATCTGCCAAAGAGTTTTAAAGAAAAACATAATGGCAGTTATGTTGTTTTAAGGTAAAGGTATTTATTCAAATTCCATGATTTTTTTAATAACTTTTTGGTTAGTTGTAATGTTATATTGACTGTAAGCTAGTTAAAAATACTTATAAATTTTTTATATAAGTTCATAAATTATTATATTTTATGTATATCTCAGGTCTCAATCAATTGGAAACTGTCTGTACAGTTCTATCTCCTTACGTCTTACTGGAAATAACTGTATAGTTAACGATTTAAGATTACAGACCTCAATTGAGCTATTCTTAAATGCCGAGTTTTATTCTAACCATCCAACTTTTCATTATGCTTTTATTAACAATACTAGCTCTTTTCTTTGCTATGATAACATTCTTCCTTTATCAGTATCACTAAATTCTTTGGATTCTGGAAAAAAAAGTAAAGATTTAGTTCAAGAAGAAGCTATTAACAATTGTAACAATGAAAACTGGTCTTCTTTTCTTTGTATTCTTGCATTATCAAGTGTTTGCAACAAGAAAATAGAATGTTTGTATCCAGATTTTGGTCTACAGAAGTATAAAATTTTATTCAGCTCAACTATTTTACCTCGTATAACTTCCTTAAACACTATTGAGTCTTTACATCTCCTTTTTTGTTATGAAGGTGTATTAAATGATTTTTCCGCTCCTTTTCAACACAACCATTATACCCCTGTGATAATAAAAGAAAACTTAAAACGAAAAAATTTAAACAAAAGCTGCAAAATGTCGCAGACTAAAATAAAATTTTATTTTGAGACCAAACATCAAGATAATAACTATTCGTTAGACAATTTAAAAAGTAAACCAATGGAAGTCTCTAGTCAACCCCCATTATCATTATCAAATTTTAGTAAAATTACATGTTGCGAATCATTTTCTTTACCTTCCAATAATTATGATATTGGTTATTTGGTTTCTAACTATACTAGTTATTCAAGTATTGCAAAAGCCTTGAGTAATTATGAACTTCAACATTTAGTTAAAGATGTTTTTGTACCTTGTAAAACATTTTCTTTTCCTAAAAATGGGCGAAGTTTTCAATTTATGTGGATAGAAAAATTTCCATGGCTCACATATTCGAAAATATTCGATGGAGCCTTTTGTTTGCCGTGTGTACTTTTTGGGTGTAATTTTCCATCTGAATGTAGTTTAGTCGAAAGATTATTTTGTAAGCCTTTTGATCGCTGGAATGATGCTTCTCGTTACTTTCAGAAACATGCATTTGGCAAAAACAATAATAAGTCTGTCTGCAGAAATAAAGGCTTACATGTAAAAACTGTTGAAGTTTTATTTTCATTGTCGTCGATTTGGTCTTCTAAAACAGAATCAATAGATATTACATCTCAAAAAATAGTTCAATCACAGGTTTCTAAAAATCGAAAGTTATTACAACCAATTATTGAAACAATTATTCTCTGTGGACGTCTTGGTCTTTCTTTACGAGGCCATAGAGACGATTCAGAGTTTCATCCTGAAAATAGTGAGTCTTTTAATCATACTGTTGGAAATTTTATTGAATTATTACATTTTCGTGTTAAAGCTGGTGATAAAGTTCTTGAAGATCATCTTAAATATCATCAACAAAATGCTTCTTACATATCTAAGACATCACAAAATCAGTTAATAAGGTGTTGTGGAGAAGTTATTACTGACACAATAATAGGAGAAATTAAAAATTCTAAATATTTTTCTATTATTGCTGATGAAGCTTCTGACAGTTCAAACAAAGAACAGCTATCATTAGTTATACGGTTTGTTGATTCAAAGTTAATATAAGAGAAGAATTTATCAGTTTTTTACATTGCACAAATGGTGTTACTGGTCAAGGATTATTTGATATTTTGTTAAAAAGTATTTCAGATTTTTCTTTAGATGTCATGAATTGCAGAGGACAGTCATATGATGGTGCTGGAGCAATGGTTGGTCACACCAAAGGATTGTCCTCTCGTATTTTAATTCTAAATGAAAAAGCTACATTTGTTCATTGCTATAGCCATAGGCTTAATTTAGTTATTTGTGGCTCGTGCAATGTGCAATATGTCAAGAATCTTCTGGCATATGTTAAAGAGGTATCATATTTTTTCAATCTTTCACCTACCAGACAACCAAAGTTAGAGGAACACATTGAATGTACTGTTTCAATAGCTGTTAAAAAAAAATTAAAAGATGTTTGCAGAACACGTTGGGTGGAAAAAGTAAATGGTTTAGATACTTTTCAAGAACTTTTTATTCCTTTGGTCTCTTGTCTTGAAGAAATGTCTTTAAATGCCAATAAGAGTTTTAATCATTCAACAGCTTCTAGTGCATCATCCCTTCTGAAACTAATTACAGGTTTTGATTTTATTGTTGCTATGTGCATAACAAGAAATGTGTTTGACTTAACTCTTCCCATAACGCGAATGTTGAAGTCAAAGAGTAATGATATTTATGATGGTTTGAATCTTATTCAGGCGTTAAAAGATGTTGTGATTTCACTTAGAAATATCGTTGATCAACACCATAAAATGTGCTATGAACAGGCTTTAAAAATTGCACAAAGTATTAATGTAGCTGAAGCAAAGCCAAGAACTTCATTTATTTCCAAAAACAGAGATAATACTCCTTCTGAATCTATTTCTGATTATTTTGAGTTAGTTATCACAATTCCTTTATTAGACCATCTAAGTGTTGAACTAGACACAAGGTTTGATGATACTACCTTAAAATGTTATAAAGCACTATATCCGTATTTTTAGCTTGGATTGGTTGGTTTATATATAATATATATATATATATAGGCCAACCAAATGCTAGTTCCTACAAAAATGATTTCAGTAGTGCAATGTTCTCATGACACCAGTTGGAAAGACTCCATCATATCTTTCAGTGACTTTTACGCAACAGACTTACCGAATCCGCTTGCTTTGTCTGGTGAGCTTGATTTATGGGAAGCCTTCTGGTTAAATTTTGAAGGAGATGTCCCTTCTAATATTTCCGAGACGTTAAAAGCGATAAATTTTCCTGGTTTTGAAAACATAAAAGTTTGTCTTAAGTTACTTGCTACCTTTCCATTAACTTCATGTGAGTGTGAGCGGACATTTTCTTCACTTCGGCGCCTAAAAAATTATATGCGAAGCACCATGGTTCAGGACCGTCTAAATGGTTTAGCATTAATGAATATTCATTCAGAAATAGTTATAGATATCAATAAAGTCATTGATAAATTTGCCACTAATAATCGTAGATTAACTTTCAAATAAATATAAAATATATTAAAAAAAATTTTTTTTTTAATAAAAAAAATGCAAAATACTAAAAAAAAACAGTGCAAAAAAAGTCAGCTTCTTTTGCCAATGGTAAAAAAAACGGCTATTTTCATAGCCACACACTTTTATAAAACATTATTTGGCATAAAGGAATTATTAACATACATTGAGTTGCATACATGTTGGTTTCAGGTATATCGTTTTTTTTATGCTATGTTGAAATGATTATATTGTAAATGTTTTTATCTTTTGAACTGATTTTTTCAGATTTTATATATTTTGCAAGCATCAATAGAATTAAGATTTTAAAATCTACTTTTGCTATGCAAAATAAAATACTAAGATTGTGGCAATTTCTGTATATATAATTCAACTTTGATTATTATAATATATAGTTATTTCTGTTATTTATATTTGTTACAATATAAACAAATTATATAATTATTTACAATAAAAATATAAAATGTGTAAGTTTATAATTTAATAATGAAATGTGTAAATATAAATCTAGTTTGTCATAATAAGTTTGTAAATATTATGTAAACATAATTTTACTATGGTAAGGTGCCCAAGCGATATCCCTGCGTATTTTTAGGCCTATATATATATATATATATATATATATATATATATATATATATATATATATATATATATATATATATATATATATATATATATATATAACAGGGCCGTCACTAGGAGAGGGTGTCTAACCCCTTACCAAAACTTTGTTGAAAAATTAGTCGGCAAATTTGGACTTGTAGTCTGCAAGTTTGGAACTATAGTCGGCATATGTCAGTAAACGAGAATCATACGTCACCTTCTGCCCTCCCCCCCCCCCCTCCTCCTTTTTTTTCTTCGGGACAGCCCTGTAATATATCCCCTCTTACTCCGGAATAGTTGAGGGGGGGGAGGGGGGAGAATGAAATGTTGCTCGTAAAAAAATCAGATGTACCCAAATAATTTCCTGGATCCGCCCCTGATATATATATATATATATATATATATAAATATATATATATATATATATGTGTGTATATATATATATATATATATATATATATATATATATATATATATATATATATATATATATATATATATATATATATATATATATATATATATATATATATATATATATATAGTCTTTTTCTCGACGGAATAGAAATTTCAAAACGGAAATTAAAGATGTGGACATCTATTTAATTTAAAAGAAAATGAAAATGAAAATAAAAAGTTTTGCGAAGAAGTTGGAAAAATAAACAAAAGATTATTTTGGACTTTAAAATTCATTTTAAAAGTATCATTGAAAAGATTAAAAATTATTTTAAAGCAAACATAATTAATAGATAATTTATAATCAAAATTGAGATTTTTAGGATACTTAATGATGTTAAATCTTTTTGTCTTTATGAAAAAGGTAATACTTTTCCTTTTTAAAAAAAATTTGAATTTTTTAATACTTTGTGTGTACTTTTAAATGCCCCTAAGCGTCAATAGTCTTAAGGTGATACACTATTTAAAAGTTTTTTAGTAATCTACCAGTTTTTAGATTTGTAGAATTTACTATTTAAAAGTTTAGTACTTTTTTTCCTAAAAATGTTTCAACGTAAAAAAGGAGACCTTATGAAGCAATTTAAAACACAGGTCAACACGAACTTGTCAGTTTTTTTGTCCCACAAAAACTTTCAAACAGTAAAACCAAGTATATTTTTTGGGCATAACCAAAAACTAAAACGCCATGTAGTACGAAATTGTAAAGAACAACATTTTTTTTTTTCAAATAGAGTTTGGTACAGCACAACAGTAACTTTTAGAGACAATGTTGCTGGTTTGTCTGTGGCGTCTGTGTTTTTCTTTTTGTCAGCATAGAGGGGCCTAGTGCAGCACCTTTTCATCAAAGTATAAATAGATTTATCGTATTTTTTTTTTTGAAAGGGAAAAATAAACCGAATGCATTACAAGTTTCGGTTCTGAAAAATAATTGCAGAACCGGAAACTTATAATGCAAAATAGATTTTAAGTAAGTTTATATTAACTATAAATATTTTTTATAAATAAATTTTTTATAATATAAATAAATTTATAATATAAATAAATTTATAATATAAATAAATTTTTTATAAATAAATTTTTTATAAATAAAAATATTTTAAATAGCCTGTATGTGATAGTTTTAATACTTGGTAATCACAATGTCACGGATATTATGAAAACTTAAATACAAAAGATAAAAGAAAGTTTTCTATTGTAGCTTTTGACAGTTACCGAGTTCCTTTTTAATAAAAATTGTATTAGGAGTTATTAGATTGAAAGAGACAAAAAATAAAAACCAAAAAAAAAAAAACTCAAAATTTAGACTATTAGGTGTTCCTCGCATTTTAGTTTAGTTCTTTTGTGTTTGAACAGCAAACTTCGTAAGTTTGCTGTTCAAACACAAAAAAATTGGGGGAGGAGACACGTGCCCACCCACCAAAAAAAAAAACATCCAAATTGCCGCTTCTTCTTTCTGCTCTCAAGACTAGGTGTCCTTTCTTCCTGCTTAATTTTCCTGCTTAACCTGCTTAGAGTTAAAAATTAAATAAGTATAGTAATGATAATAATGGAATATTTAATACCTTAATATTTATATATACACTTTTTGTCTCTCTTATAGAACAACACAAAGCAAAAATGAAATTCGTCTTACTTCTTGCTGTTGTAATAATGGCTATTTATTATGTTGATGCTAAAGAATGTAAGTCTTTAATACTTTTAATTTATTAAACTATTTTTTATTTTTCTTAAATTTGAGTTTATACAATAAACTATATAAAAAAAAACAATAACGAGTCTCATACAATAAAAGTAAAATATAAAATTTTATAACAATTACAAACTTAATTTGTTTTTATTTTAAGTAATAATATAAACAAAAAGATAGTCAAAAAAAGTATACACCAAAACAACCGTTTCATAGTGTTCTTAAACTGTTGTTATATCTAATATAACGGAATGTAAGAATCATTTTATAAAATAAAAACTTACAAAATGTTTAATGTACATTTTGTGAGTACCAATACAATATTAGCGTATGAAAGATTGATATGAAGAAGTCTAAAGTAAAAGATGATTAATTGAGGTTAATTGTCTTATTTTATGAAAGTGGGTTGTTTAATGCAAAAATTAAATCTATTACACAACTAAGTCAAATAACATGTGTTTCAAATGTTTATTTTTCTAGGTTCATACGACGAAAAAAAATGCGGAGACGAATGTATTCATTTGACGGATTACCGCTGCTGCGATGGAAAACCAAGAAAAAACAATGAATACGGAGAATGTGGAAATACGTGTTTCCACTTTACTAACGAAATATGTTGTAATGGCGTTCCTCTTCCATCAGACGAATGGAAGAATTGTGGAGGAGTTTGCAAAAAAGTGAAGCAATGTTGATCAATTTGGAAATTTTTGTTGTCGAATATTGAATTGGTTAAATAAAATTTATTTGATTATTACCTATCAATCTCATTTATAAATATCGAAATACAAAGTTTCAAAATTTTTTTTCCTTTGGAAAATATATTTTTGTCAGCATTTCCTACCTCTTTAACCTTAATCCCATAAACTCTTAGGCACAGCAATGTAACTGGCTGTAACAAAAATATTTTACTATGTTTGTTAGAAATCTAAACTAAATCATTCTATTTTACATAGAAAATATGCTTAAATTTAGGTTAAATAAAGACTATATATTTACTTTTTGAAATTAAAAAGTGCGCTTTAAATGATCTTAACTAAGATAAAAACTTTTATAAACAAAAGTTCTTGTTAATTAAGTAGTATAGCCAACTACAGTTTTTGAAATGAATTGTATTAATTTTGATTTATTATGTATTAGTTCAAATAAAGGGCTGAAAGCTCTCTTCCCTAAGCATAAAAAGCATGAGACCAAAGTTGTTTGTTTAAAGCATACAAACCACGTCAAAGTTTCTTTCTGCTCACACCAAGAAGGTTAATAACCTTTTTGGTGTGAACAGAAAAAGGAACCTCCTTGGTGTGCAAAATTATTAAACGTTTCCCAGTGACATTAATGAATTCACTTGTTTGTTTGTATAGTGGTTTATCCTCCTCCGGCTAATTGCCATATAGAGGCCACATTACCAAGGCCCGCAAAGACAGGTTCAGCTCCCCAAGGAGCATCATAACCCGCTCTACGGACGAAGAGTAAAGTGAGTTTAGGAAGAACGAAGATATGTTAGAGTGAAAGACAGAAGTAGTCGTGTTAGAAAGATAGCATAAAGAAAGCGGAGAGGATTGCACTCAATGTTAGGAGGTGCAATAGGTTTGTTTATAGTTGTTTTTTTTACATATGACTGGGAATCTATTATTTACAAATATCATCCATTTTTTATATAAAATTCAAAACCACAAAATATTATATTTTTAAGTTTAAAATTACGTTGGCGTAATTTTCCAATATCTTTAAGAAGACCGCATCATTGCAAATATATTAATGTTTATATTAAGATTCAACCGCTAATATTTGCTACTTATCGTGGAAGACGTAATCCACAACATTGGTTCACACCGGTAGTTTTTATGCAGAACAATTTAAAGCATATAACAGAAAAATTTACTATCAATCAGAAAACTGCTTATTCTTGCACATTGTCTTTCCTGAAAAAATGCACATATTCGTAGATAACCAAAAAAAAAATGACAATCAAATGTTATAATGAAAAATACAGTTTTTTAAATACATTTTTAAAAGTTAAAAAAAAAATTATAAACATAAAAAGGTAAAAGCTATTATAAACTATGATTATTTTATGTTAATCTAAAAGTAAATGTTTAAATATAAGCATCTAATAAATGTAACTAAATAAATTAAATGTAAGTAAATAAATTAAATGTAAGTAAATAAATAACTATTCAAGTATAAATAATAAAGTAATACATAATAAAGTTATTAAATAATAACTAATAGTTAAGATTCAAATAAGTACTTATTTGGATAAATATTCGTTAAAGAATTTCGCAAATAAGAAATCGACGAGCTGTAAACCCGCAATTCTTGTAATTAAAAAGTTTTTAAACTAACATAATGGCTTTCGAATCAATAGCGTACCGTTTGTGTTCTAAAAATAGAACTACTTAATGTGGCGTAAGTGATTGTGGACAAACAATTTGATAAACATGAAGAGCAAAGGTCCTGTTCTTGGGGAACTTGTAGATCAGATTCTAGTTATAGCGATAGATTAACTCCAGAAACATTTTTTTTATAAGGTTTCTTAAGTCTTTTTTTTTTTTTTTTTTTTTTTGTTATTTAGGTGCCCTAAGAAGACCTAACGGTCTTGTCACAGAGCACCGCGGAAGTGCATTTAACCAAGAAGTTCACGCCTCCTTCCTTACCGTGTCGCGAAAATATGTCCAAAGCTCGTTTTGATCTCCTGCTACTAAAGCAAGCGCTCTAACCACTGCACCACGGCCGCACCTGAAATCTAGTAATAATTAAGAAAATAAATTTGCCTTAAATCTTCAGGCTGTTTTCAAATTTATTATATAAAGAGTGTGTAGAATAGAACTAAAATAATAAAATTTTTTACATTTCTGTAAAGGCTCTAAATTTAAAGAGACATTTAAATTATACTTCCTCAAGTATCGAATTTCTTTACTAATCTATTTTTATTCCTTTCATATTGGTGAAAAAAGACTGAGACCCTTTAAAGTTAGACAAAAAAAAAAAAAAAAAATATTTGAGTGCATTATTACAAAGTTGAGATTTCTTATAAAACATAATATTAAAAATAAAACAAATAAAAACCCGCCTAAATTAAAATTTGAGGAGCTTTTCTTTTACGTTTTTTTTACGTTTTTACGGCAAATATTGTTTTTTTCGCAAAAAAACGCCAGTGTGGTGTAAGATTTTTACCCCTCCATTTTTTTTTACTTCCCTATAAAAATTTGATATGAAATTTGTGCCGCGGAGTAAAAAATGCGAATGAAATTTTTACTCCCTTTATGAGATTTTTACTCTCATTAGATGTTTTTACCGTTATGTTATTATAGTGCTTAATTAATATATTTACGGTTATATTAATATAGTGCTTAATATATTTAATAAAAGTTAAACTTTTAATAATAACTTTTTTTAACTATAGAGTAAATTTTCTTATATTATTTTAAATAAACGGTGAAAATATAAATTTTACGGATAATCTTTTTTAAACTTAAGGATCATGGAGCATGCAAGTAGTTGTTTGATCAAAATGTGTACTTGTATAATTAAAAAATGAAGGGGAATATCCAAAATTGTTTAATTTTACTATTAGGCTATCGTACTTGTTACAAACTTGTTAGAAAAGGAATTTTCTAAACAACAAGTTTACCTTGCTAACCTGCAGAATCTGAAAATCGCAGCTTTTTATTTCTTTCTGACTTTTTTATTTAACGATCTGCAAAAAAAAAAATTCTCGTAGGTTACCCTATGTATCAGATAGGGTTAGGATTTTTTTAAAACTAAACATATATTGTTATATGGGTTTATTTCTGGATTCTTTGCTTTCGCTTTACTAATGTGGAATCAGTCAGGCGTATAAAAAAGTATTTCCATCAAATTTAAAAAAACAAATATTTTTATTCCTTCTCCTATATACCGTTGTAAATTCGCTTATTTTTAAGTTTTTAAAACATTTGTTTACAGACTTAAAATAAAAATATATTTAAAAAAAGTCTAATAATTATGAAAAGAAGGTGATTTTAAATTATTTTTTTTTTTTTATAATTTTTTATATTTTACAACAGTACAACATTATAGTGACTTGCAGTTAAATTGTCAAGGAATATAGCATGTTCACTAAGCTGTGTAAGTGTTAAACTACATGGGTAAGTCAGCCATTTCAATTTCTCTCCATATTTGCTATATACTTTTATATCAATACCCATGAACGAGGCACACCCAATTATTTCTGCATCAGTTGCCTAAGTTGTGTTATCACTCATACCACTTTCATTTAGATACGTTATTATTGATTGATTCATATATAAAGTCATTTCATCATTAATATGAGTACACATATGTTTAACAACTTTTTCTCTTATAATTTCATAACTGCATTCACTGCCTGTAATGATATACAATATTGCCCTAAAAAAGCAATTACCATCGCCTATGGTTTTGTGTATTTGTTTCGGACGCGAAATTAGATTAATATCTGCAATAAAAATATTTTTGGTAATACCAATTCCAAATTTTTCAGAAATAGAAGTTTTCATTTCAATAGTTGCATATTTTCCGATCTTATTATTTGAGATTTGCATATTAATTTCATCAAATGTGATTTCTTGTTCATCATTAGTTATTTTTTCATTATATAAACATAACTTTGTCAAGTTGTACTTTGTTTTCAAAATTTGACCCTTTAGATTTTTCAAAGTGCAGTTATTTGTGCTAGAAATAGAAGTTACAATGTATGGTCCAGTCCAAGACTTTACAAGTTTACCATCTTTTCTATCATCACGTCTGCTATTTCTTAGTAACACTTTTTTATTTATGCTAATTTCATTATTTGGTGCAATTCTCTTGTCGTAATCAAGTTTTTGTCTTTTTTGAGATTTTCAATATTTTTATAAGCATCGTCAAAAATTTTATTCTTCATTTTATCCATTGCATAAAAGGTATCTGAAACTATTTTTTGTTAGAGAAATCATCATTGCTAAGAGCGTTATCATCATTAAAGTCAATTAAATTGCTATCTAAATCAATCGAAAGAACTGCTTCCCTTTGGTAAAGCAATGCAAACGGTGAAAACCCAGTAGACTTATGCTTTCTAACTCTTAAAGAAAACAAAACACAATCAATAATGTATGGCCATTCCAGAGCAGCCTAATCAAGTAGTTTTACTAATATACGTTTAACTGTTTGATTTTGTCTCTCTACTAATCCATTAGCTTAAGGATGATATGCACTCGTAATTCTTTGAATTGTTCCTGTTTTTGAGTAAAGTTCTTTAGAAATTTTATTTACAAACTCACGACCCTGGTCATTTATTTGAATTTCAAAACAGCCATGTCGACATATCTTTTTATACAAAAAAAAAAGCCACAGCTTTAGCAGTTTTATTGGTAAGTGCTTCTGCTTCAACCCATTTACTAAAGTAGTCGATTAATACAACCAGATATTTGCAACCGTTAACTGGTAGCTGTGTTAAATCGATTCCTACCTGCTTCATATTGCCTTTAGGAATTGAAATATTTTGCAGCAATGGTTTCGACTGAAGTTTTCTGTTCTTTAACTTTTGGCATTGAACACATTTGGAAACATAAGTTGTAATATCTTTTATCATTCCATACCAGAAAAATCTACTTTGAATGTGATAGGTTGTGTTATTAATACCTGTATGACCAGATAAAGCTTTGGACTCAACAGAGACATCGTTTCCTTCATAAACAAACTTTATTATGTTTTGTTGTTCATACTACTCCAAATATCTTTTCTCTAAAAAAAGAGAAGCTG